AGATTTTTAAACAACAGGAATGAGCAGACAGATCAAACTACCTAGGACAATATCTATTGCAAATCTAATATAAAAGTTAGATATGAACTAGCCAAGGAACATCAGAATCAATTGTGTACACACACACACACACACACACACACACACATATATATATATATATATATATATATATATATATATATATATATATATATATATATATATATATATATATAACAAATACATCCCTACCTTTGGTTTACGACTTAAGTTTAGCTATATCTTGTGACCGACGAGTTGGGTAACCAACGAATATTAAGTCGCATACTAAACGTAGGTATATGTGTATTTATATTAATATATATATTTCTTAGTTCTTTTCTAACCCATCGAGCACTATCATGTCTGTGCCTCTTGGCAAAATTTGGTAATCATTTATTTGCATACCTGTGTATGCACGCCTGCAGGAGCATCAATGGTTGCTAATATCTACGTATTTCATTTACCTAACCCCATACATACATACATATATATATATATATATATATATATATATATATATATATATATATATATATATGGTTGAAACTTGAGTATCGGTGTCTTTTGAATAGCGTCTTTGCAATCTTGCTTATTTAGAACTGTTTTACTGTTTAGTTAGGTGTCTCTATTTTGGGCTATCATTTTATGTTTCTTTTTTATTCTTTTTGGCTTCGATTTAATAGTTTTCTTTTATTTGGGGACGTTTACCAGACTTTATTTGGTTTCTTCAATACTCTTACTTGTACATATATGTGCAACGTTGAAGCAATATATATATTGCTTCAACGCTATTTTTAATGGATACCCATAGTTAAATAGATGCTTTGCGCTTATATATTTATTTAACTGTATATTTCTTTATTTCCATCTACCGGCCTGAATATTCGAGACATCTTATTAAAGATAAATAAGCCCTCTCCGGTATGATACGAACCTACATTCTCCTAGGAGAAACAGTCATTAGATGAGACGTGCGTTAACCTCTCGACTACTGAGTGCGTCAATCAAAGCAGAATAGCATCTTTAAATACAGGTTTTCTCAATATCGTATCCTAACGTGAACAAAGCAATTTTTGATGAGAGGGATCGGACTTTATTTTATTTATTTAGCCGAATGATTTTTAATACTTAAAATTTATTTTAAGTGGATACTTATATGTGAGTAGGCGCTCCATTTATTTATTAAGCAGTATATTTATTTTCGTCTACCGACGTACAAGAGAATTATTTATTCTTCGGCAGGATACGAACCTACAGAAAGACGGAGGGCGTATTTTGCTATTTACAATAGAGAATATAGTTATGGTTACGGTGTAACATGATATCGAGGAAATTTAAAGCGTTTGTTTTTCCTGTTTCATAAATAAACTCTTTTGTACGTTCAACTTTGTTGAGTTTATCTAAAAGGTCAGATAATTTTGTTTTGCTAGGATAGATATATTAATAAATAATTATCAGTATATAGGAAATATGTTGATTTGTTTAAGAAAAAATGCTTTGGAAAAAAAACAGATTGGAGAACCTCAAAATACATACATGCTAAATCACCGCTAAGAGACGAATCTATTCGGCATTTTGTTTATAAAAAAAAGCATTGTTAAAAATGGAATAACATTAGTGTATGTTGAGTCGATAAATTTTATAATTATCTGTCTGTCTGTCTGTCTGTCTCTCTCTCTCTCTCTCTCATATATATATATATATATATATATATATATATATATATATATATTGTAAAGGTAATAAATCCGATGGTTATATTGTCCAACTAGACCCTAGTAATATATTAAAACTGATCTACAAAGAGAGCTCAATGTATTTATTATTACAGAGACAATAAAGAGTATTACACAATAAAATCCAAAATTAACACATATGGGAATAAACTTATTTCATCCGACGAAAACTTCAGTCATTTTAAACTCCAGTATATGGACATGGTTCATGATACGTGACAGAGGCGACATTATGTTTCATGTTCACATAGCCTGACAATTGCGTTTAGCATAAAACATACTGTCGCCTCTGTAGTGTCTTTTCATACAATTATTTATTCCAGTTGGTGTCAATGTCTTGGTTTTTATTTTTACAATATTTCATTCTATTTACTCCCCGGGTTTGTTCAGCTTCCTTCATATTTTCTCTATTTAATCCAAGTGATATCACATACTGACTATTCCTTCTTTCTCAGTTCACCCTGGTGATGTTATTTTCCTTGTTCCAGTGAATGAAAGTAAATAAATTCTCTTGCCAGTGACTGAACACAAATCCATCAAGCAAAATGCCACCTTAAGCAACGCTTATATAAACTAGGCTAATGTTCTATAGCCCAAGCTAATGTTCCGTTAATACAGTTCCAAATCTTTAAGGCTAATATTTCTCCTGATTAGATACCACTATATGATATTCAATTCTATCCTGGACCTACTGAGGATGTTGAAGTGATCATCTGAGCCTAGCATTGAGATGATTCTATCTATCGTCTTATTTTCCAGAGTTACTCTATATCTGTTAGAATTGACTATTTTTTAAGTGGAATTAGTGTGATTATAACTGCCAAAATGAGGGAAACAGTTTGAATAAATCCATGAATAAAACATAGAATTATAATGGTAAATCTCTATCTCAAACATTCAGACGGAAAATTTTGAAGCAGCAATATTAGCTGCAGGCAGTTTATACATAAATATCCAATGTCTCTGGGATACATTTATTTCATACGTAGAAAATAAATTGAATGGAAATTCCTACTGTTTATAGGTTTGTTTGTAGTAAACTAATTTTAAGGCAAATCACATTTCAATCACTACCACACTTTGCATTTCAACCGTCTCCAAACAGAAATAAAGATGCCAGCAGAAATAGAAAATATTGCAATATACATCCAATCATTATAAAATCTGTTTCCTAATATAAAAAATATAATGAAGAAGAAGAAATTAATAAGGTTACTTAAAAAAATAAGAAGAATAAATAATCACTAGATATTGTGACTGCATTTTCTCTCCGGATTCAATAACAATTTTCTCACTTTTATTACACGTAAGTTTGAAATCAGAAACGCATCAACCAAATGTTGGGGTTAGTCGTGCATTAATGTACTCGGTCAGTTATGTGTCATGCGTGATGCACACTTAGGCGATCATCTATCCCTCGATACATGACTATGTATCCTTCGACACATGATTGATAAGGCAGATTTTTTCCCGCAGTGAGTTGCCATTTCTTTTTGCGGTAGACCAGTTGCCATCGAAGGCTATAGAACCTGCTATTTACCCACAGCTGGGAATAGAAGAAGAAGATTCGTACCTTTCCCAAGGGTATTAGCACGTAAGTGAATGTAATAGCTTCGACTATAATTCGAACTCTGCTCTCTGATTCCTGAATCCGAGCCGCTATCGATTACTCCTTCAGCAACCGTTTTTTTAGTACTTCTTTAATACAGAATCAAAAATGTAGACTTTAAGGTTCACATACATATAGAATTATTCCACTATTTATATTATTTGGACTATTGTCCACATCTTTGTCGCTATATTTATTACAACGTTTCGGCCGTTGTACGTTCCGGGCTTCTTCCGAACTGAGCCCTTTATTTCGCTCACTGGGGTAGACAGGTATAATGGATGTCAGTTATCAGTTATCTCTTGTTAATTTCCCTCTCCAAGTTCTCCGCCGCCTTAACCAGGTATTGAACTCCCACTCTTTGGATCCTGTCACTGGATGAAACTAACGCCTTTATCAACTATGCTATGTGTCCTTGAGGACATCTGTGTATGAATTTCTGGGAATTATAAACCTAATGTCTTCAGAAACCATTTTTACCAGTGCTCATATTGCAATTTTTGCTGTTATCATTGTATATTTTTACCAGAGCTCATATTGCGATTTTTTTACTGTTATTATCGCTTTTCTCTGGCATTTCCCATTTTGTATTCATTTCTATACTTGGTCGGCTCAGGAGATTTTTGTGGCCTAGTATAACTGTGGATTCCTTAACAACGAAACGTTGTAATAAATATGAGGACAAAGATGAGGACACTAGTCCAGATAATGTAAATAGTGTACATAATATCTCATCTCAGAAATACAGACAGATACTGAAGGACCGAAACGTTGTAATAAATATGGCGACAAAAATGAGAACAATAGTCCGAATAATGTAAATAGTGTACATAATACGTCATCTCAGAAACATAGAAAGATACAGAATTATTCCAATTGGATCTTCAAATAAAAGTAATGGCAAACTCTCTAGCGTAGTTATGTAAACAATAAATTTTAAAAAAAAACTCAACCAATGATGAAGACTTAGAAGAATTACAGAAAAGTGAAAAAAGGAGGAAGTAACTCTTGCTCGACTACACATAGGCCACACATATATAACGTACACACATTTGTTTAAAGCAGAGGATCGTCCATTCTGTATAGCATATGATGAACCACTTACAGTTAACACAGACTGGTGAAGTGTATTGATTTTATGAAATTCGTCTCAACTTTTAGCATGTCATCAACCTGGAAGACCTATTTGAACTTGTTGATCCAAATAATATTTTTTGATTTCTAAAGAAGGTCGGATTATATCAAATGATGTAGAAATATGAGGTTGCTGTGTAGATAAATATGTGCTGCTCGCCAAACAAAGTGGAAAAACAATATACATATAAACTATTCATGTACAGAACATACATATATAATACATATGTATAAACGGGATTTGGCATTAAATGACCCACAGGGTTTACATGCCAGAAAACTCATCAAATCAAATCAAAATCAAATAAAAGGTTAGGAAGGAAGCACCTCCATCAATACTTGAAAGAGCGATAACAGCTACCTGACTTGAGAAAACTTTTTTCTTCAAAAATATTTTAATTGAATTATTTTACGAATTTCAGCCAAAATAGATAACACTAGCTGCAGTGTCAATGAATGCTTCCTTATAAGGAAAGGTCTAATATTACATACCGTACCTAGGATAGATAGATAGATAGATAGATAGATAGATAGATAGATAGATAGATAGATAGATAGATGTGTCCGTGGTGTAATGGTTAGCATGTTTGTCTCGCTAAAAGTAATAAATCATTAGATAGGTTCATTTGTTGCATTGCGAATGTTATGCTTCTCCTTTTTTTCAGGATTAATGAGATTAATCTTTTGAAATTTAATTTTATTATTGTGGTTTATTTATTATTTAAATAAGGGTATAGCAAAACATGACCAAATACTATCAGTAGATCATTGATGATAGCCGGTGCAATGAGTGCCGGGCAATCGATGTCAGCGTATCGGCCGATTAGGGGTTATTTTTAACAGACATCGTTTAGTTTGCATTTTATTTATATTGTTTATGTAATTTTCTCTCAAAAAGCACAAGTAAGAAATGGAAATGCTTTTCCTTCTACAGATAAGTTTGTTTTTTTTTTTCGAATTCTGAACGTAAATCTTTAACGCAAGGAAAAATTCATTTTCTTGCCAACAGCGAAAACTAACTCTAAATAACCAAAGGCAAGCAAAAAACAAAAAACAAAAAAATATCCTTTCTTGACGATAATACTTCGATATTAGAAATGCACTAAAATATACGCCTACGGCCAAATCACGTTGAACACGTTGAAACACTGGTTCTTGTACGATCACCGAAGTTAAGCAACGTCGAGCCTGGTCAAGACCTGGTCAGACCACTTTGGAATACCAGGTGCTGTAAGCATGGATGCGTGGGTGGTGTAATGAATAATGACTCAAGATTTTGAACAGAAAAGCCGTCTTCCTATTGCCGTTGGGTTCGTTATATTCACTTACGGGAAAATACTGTTAGGAAAAGGATGAAGCCATCTATTCTCCCATTAGCTATAGCTTAAGGTTTGTATGAAGAAACCCCAAAATATTACACCCCATCGAAAAATATTTTTTCTAGCTTTAAACAATCTGCAAAGGGTTTATAAACAGATCACTCAATCAAAAATCTAATTTGATTATTTAGCGAAAACTTTTGTTACAAATTGTTTTTTTTTAGATTTTAAAACATATTTTAGTATTTTTTTATTTCTTTTTCTTACTCTCAAAGTATTATTTTTTATTTTATTTTTCTTTCTATTATTTCTTTATTTCATTTTTTACTTTTCTCTCCCTTTTTATTTCATTCCACATGACTTTTTTTCTTTCTTAATTTTCCCTTAATTTTGACTAAAATCAATCGGTGATTAGCATTTTTTTCTTTCCACCATCTTTATTTTTAACGTGCATATTTTTTGTAAATTCATTTTCTCCGTAATTCTTGTTTTCTTGTTCATTCGTTCCATTACTTCTTTGTTTCATCCTTTTTTTTATTCATTTGTAATATTTTAGTTTTCACCCCATCTTTTTCTCACATTCTTTTTCATTCTTTTTTGTTTATTTCATTTTGTTATTTATTCAAAATGTTCGTTTTATATTTTTCTTTTATTTAATTCTTTCGCCGATTTCTTTATTTTTTCTCTGTTTGTCGTACAATCCAAACATGTCTCATTATCATTCCCACCTGTATCCTTCTTTCTAGCATTTTTATCTAATTAAAACTGATGACAGGAATTTGTGTCACTCCAATTCTCTAGCTCAAATAAGAATGACAAATTTCTTCATCACCTAATTAGTTAAATTTATTTCAAGTTTTCATTCTGAAAACTAATTCTTTGATCCCTTCCTGTTTCAAACAGACTCTGTTTTCAGCAATATTAATTTCTTCTTTTCCGTTATTTTGCCTGTGATTTTTTAAATTATACATTTCTCTTGTTTTTTTTTTCTGTTTGTTGCATGTATACCTCGGGTTACGTCGTTTTGAGTTAAGTTGTTCTCGATTATACGTTGTTTGTCAAAAAATATATGGGAACATAAAAATCAAGTCATTTTATTCGACTTTACCTCTGTCCGCCACAAATACTGAAGTCGTAATATCACTAGAAAAGCGTTAAAAACAAATGCAATCATGTAACTCTACAGTAAATAAGAATAAAAGTATATAAAATCATATTAAAATGCATACATTTACAGTAAATGTTAATGTAATCATCATAAATCCTAGAGAACGAAATATGAAAACATCTGTGATTCTGTGTTCTCGTATCTTTAAGAGCTCAATATTGGCGTTTTCCACGGTAGGTGGATTGATAGATTGAATCATCAGCGTGCTACTATTAGTCAGATAATCATTCAAGCGAAAACGTTGTCTTTGTTTGAGGATCTGAACAAAAATACCCAAATTAGAATGATGAAGAATGCGAGTCAAGGCTGGTTTATGAGATTTAAAGAACGAAGAATTTATCACTCTATTTAGAAGCAAGGTGAAAGTGCATCAACTGACAAACAAGCAGAAGCCGATTTTCCTAAAGAAGAATCGAAGAAAACGTTTTTTTTTCCTGAACAGATTTTTAACAGTGACGAAATTGGAGTGTTTTGGAAAAATTACCAGACCGTTCTTTCATTGCTAATGCTAAGCGTAAGGCTATATCTCTGATAAATTATTTTATTCACAATACTGTACGCACATATAAATACTGTTATATGCAATGGGTAGTGCTTATTTGCTGTTTATGGTGTGCTTATTTCTCGTCGTCAACCTCTAGAACCAATTAATGATATAGAGCGAGGTATACCTGTTCATAAATTCTTGTCGTTTATATTTCTTGATGCCTCTTTTTCTTTTTTCTTTCATTTTTCTCCAAATAGCATTTCGCTTTGTTCCTTTTCATTGGTTCCAATTTTTCTTTATTTCTTCACCTGTGTTCAATATATTCTTTTATGTTTTCACTGGGTATTATTTTGGCAGAGGACTGTTAACGCGACGCTGAGATCCGAAGACGGATTGTGATGGCCAAAGACGCATTCCAAGAGCTAGACAGAGTATTACGAAACAAGAGGATTTCTTTGGTGACAAAGAAAAGCGTGCTGAGCTTCTACGTGATATCTGTTCTGCTTTACGGCAGGGAATGTTGAACGGTCTCCTCAAAGATGAAGAACAGACTCAAGGCAACAGAGGTATGGTTCTACAGAAGGATGCTAAGGATACTATGGACCGAACATGAGCACATTAGAAAGAAGGAAAACAAGGAGGAAGCTTATACTTAACATCATGAAGGGTCAGCTGAAATTTCTGGGAAACGTAATGAGAAAGGAGGGCATGGAGAGTCTATTACTCACAGGTCAAATAGAGGGAAAGAGAGACAAGGGAAAGCAACGTATGACATACCTAGTTGGCTTAAGCAAGTAAATGACAGAACATGACCGGGAAAGTAGCAAAGAGACAAAACATACAAGGGATAGGAGGAAGTGGAGGGCTATGAATGCCTACGTCCTGAAGGGACACGGCACATAAAAAGAAAAGAATTCTTTATTCATTCTGCATTATTACTACACGAAAATATTTTTTTTTATTTTTTAATGTCATTTTTAGAAATCAAAGATCAAGGCGCTCCACGGTTTCATTTCCTTTACTATCTGCGAATTGTCATGGTTTTTTCAAAGACGTAGTAGAGTGATTTCTTAGCGAATTTTCGGTGCAGAATTATCCTTTTCCTTGGTTGTCCACATTTTGTTTAACTGAGGATGATATTAAGATGATATTAAGATGAGGGAAAAATAAGTTGATTCACAAATTTCCCAAAATAAACGGTTGAAATTTGAACCCGATTCTCTGATTTCTAACTTATTCATTTCTCTTTGTTTTGTTCAAATATATTTTATATTTTGCTATTTTTTCTCAAAATGCTTATTTTTTTTCTCACTTGCTGTTTAGTTTCCTACATTTTTCAATCCCTATTCTTTTTTTGAAAGTTTTTCCAGTATATTTGTCTGCTATTCTTTCTTTCGTTCTTTCATTTTTTTCATTTTTCTTTTCAGAAACGCTTCTCCTGTTTATTTTTTTTTTTTCCAAAGTTTCTCTCTACTCTCACAACTCTCACAATTTAGGATTTTCTTTCTTTCTTTTCTTTCTTTCTTTCTTTCTTTCTTTCTTTCTTTCTTTCTTCCTGTCTTTTTATTCCTCTTACAATTAAACAATTCTTCCTCTTTCTTTAGACATTTTATTCTTTCTTTTTTATTGTTTTCTTTTTTTCTAATCCCCTATTGTTTTTTATGTTTTTCTTAAACCGACTTCCTTTCTTTCTTTCTTTCTTTCTTTCTTTCTTTCTTTCTTTCTTTCTTTCTTTCCAATGATTGCTGTTACTTTTTTTAGACATTTCTATTCCATCTTTCTTTCTTTCTTTCTTTCTTTCTTTCTTTCTTTCTTTCTTTCTTTCTTTCTGCTTCTTTATTTCATTCTTACTTTCTTTCCATTGCTTTCCTTTCCTTACAAAATTTCCTCTTCTCTCACATAATACTTTTTTTCATTTTACATCGATTAGATTTTATTTACGTTTTTTTAGACAAGAAGAAGAAAACAAGAAGTAACGAAAGACTAAAATATTCATTCGTTCTTTATGATGTTTTCTTTATAGCTTTCATTTTATTAATTTCCTCCATTCTAACGTATTTCATGTCTACTTTTCATTTTTTTTCTCTGCTTTTCTTCGAAATTTTATATTTTTCTTTCTTTTCTTCTTTTTCATAGTATTCACTTTCTTTGTTTTTTTTTTGTTTTTTTTTGTTTTTTGTTGTTTTCCAACAAGCTTCTCAAATCTTTAAGAGACCCTCCCTTCTTTTTTTTCACAAATTAGCACTTTTCTCCCTGTCTTAGGCATTTTGTTATTCCTATTTTCTGGTAGATTTTTTTTTTTCGCTTTATAAAAGTTTCCATAATTTGTCCCAGTTTCCTTGTTTGTATGCATTTTATCTTTTCCAAATTCTTCGTCATTTTTATTTTCCTTTATGTTTTTTTTTGCAACTAAGATATTCAGTTTTCTTTATCAGTTTTTTTTTTTTTTTTTTTTTGCAATTTTCTTTTCTTTGTTTTCATAGTATCAGCCTTTTTCAGTTGTTTGCAAATTTCCCTCAATATCTTTTGGAATTATTATCTTTTGAATTTCTTTATATTTCTACCTTTATTTGTTATTTTGCCGGCTTAAATAAACTATATATTGCATATGTCTGTCTTTCTCTTCTCTTTCATTCGGCTTCTTATAAATTTTGTCTATATCTATAATTATGTAGTTTTTTTTTTAATATTGTTTTTACTTTTCTTCTTATTTTCTTCTTTTGATTTTTCAGTGCCGTGAGGGGTCATTACCGTCCACAATGTCCTATCTTTGTAGCTGTTAGTAAAGATTTTCTTTGTGCAATCTCTCTTAATGCCTGTTCTTCTAAACATAGCAGCTCGTTATGCAAGTTATGTGCTGATTTGCTCCACTCAGACAACCGTCAATATACCATGTGAGTTTCAAGTTTTATAAGCCCTCTTTCCTCATATTGCTTCATAGAAATTTCATCGGTCTCTTTCTCATTCTAAATCGACTTTCTTCCTTATTTTTCGTTTATACTGTCTGAAGATTTTCTTTTTGTTACATTTATCTCTTCCAATTTCCTATGATTTTAACTTCCACATTTTAATACTTTGCTTTCTACCTGACTGAACCAATGTTTTTTTATTATTATTATTATTATTTCTTTCATAGTTTTATCTTTTTATTTCTTTGATCTTCCATTTTCTTTCATTTCTTTCTCATTCTCCTCTTTATTCTCTTCTTTTAATCTGACATTCTTTAACTCGGTTAGTTTTTTTTAGCCACATTTTCAGCTTTATTTTATACTGAATCGTAGAAAGGATTTTTTTTTATTTCTCTTGCAAACAACACTGCTGACGGCCGTGCCAGTCGCCATACGACCTACACCAACAAACAATCGACCCATCATCAACGCTAGTTCAAGCGAATGGACCCCCAAGTCGGCAATTTCTCGAACTGAAATCTGCAATGAAAGTTTTATGGCAGGTATTTTTCTCGGCCGTGTAAAAGGTGTTCCGCCATGCTTCAATGCCGTTGACTAGGAGAATACCCGCCAAAACATGATGATTAGTGATCATAAAAACTAAGATAAGACGAGTAAAACAAACACCCTTACTAAATATATCAGGACAGTAGACATTATACTAATATATATATATATATATATATATATATATATATATATATATATATATATATATAGAGAGAGAGAGAGAGAGAGAGAGAGAGAATGTGCTGAAAAGTTATTGGTTCAATAAATATACTTAACATAATCAGTTTTTTCATGACTGAAAATATAATACAGCTTTTGAAAAGTAGGTTGCAAGAAAATATATTTTTTGTTTTACTACTCATGTCTAAACCAGCACTCCTCACGACATATAAATTTAATTTTTAGATGATCAAAATAATTGTTGAGTTTCAAAGTAATGAGAACTACAATACTTATCCTGTAATAAACAATAACCTGATGATGACATTGTGCTATGTCGAAAGTACTCGGAAATAAACGAAATGTTTATCAACACGACGATTTTCTCTCGTCCTTCAATGATGACACAAAAAAAGATTGCCCGTGAATGTGAAGGAGTCTATTGAAAACAAGTAGACAAAACATATTTAAATTATTCAAGGAATTAACCTTCAATATATATATATATATATATATATATATATATATATATATATATATATATATATATATATATATATAATGGATGGACTCTCCCGTCGGATTCGTATATAAGAAAATATATATATATATATATATATATATATATATATAGATAGATAGATAGATAGATAGATAGATAGATAGATAGATAGATAGATGATGTAATACATTTAGACAGCAATTATTCATCAAACTTTGATTATAAGAAACAAGTTTTTATTTTTTATTATGTTTTATGTTTATTTTTTTTTTTTTTTTTATTTCATTTTTTATTATGTTTCATGTTAATTTTTTTATTATATTTTCCAATTTTCGGAGATAATGTTTTGAGAATTGTGGATAAACTGTTCGAATTTCATATTTTGTTATTTTGTTCAGGTAATTTCGACATTCGCAGTCATTATCAAGAACTTTTGGGGTATCATCGTTGTTATTATACTTCCTTTGTATTTTGTTGTTCTTTGGGAAGTTGGACGTTGGAAATGATTTAGTGTGATCTCATCTCCAGCGTCTATTGGGAACGAGCCCGAACAATTTGATTTTATTATATTTTATTTTTAATTAATTATTTTCATTTATTTTATTTTTTAATACAAATGTATTATGTAGCACATTAACTATCTCATATGCAATTCAAGAAACCATCTCCTTTATTTAATGTGTACTGTTTATTTTGAATAATAATAGCTTCTAAGGTTTTGAGTTTGTCATTTTATTGGGTGCTGTAGAGTATTTTGGTGTTATCTACTAATATTTGTCTTATTTTGATACATTTTGGTCGTTCATGATGTGCTGGGGGATTTGTGCATGGATTGCGCTGAGTTTCGATAGGTGACAGGGCAATCTGCGCGAGAGTGAGGTGCCTGCGTACACAATCTATGTATTTACTACTTTTTTTTTTTGATAATGTTGGGGTGCAATCTCCAAAGTGGAATGAGAATTCATAGATAACATTTTTTTTTACATAGGTGGCATTTATGAGACCCGGTGTTGATAATGATCAAGTTAGATAATCAAGTAAAACTTTCTATAGTAGATAATAAATCTTTTTTTTTAGGATCATTGACTGATAAATACCGGTGAATTATATTTTTAATTGCTTTTTCATCCTGTTTATAATTAGGGTACATCCGGTGACGAAAAAATAAATTAATAGCTTGTTTCTTTTTGTTTGCTTCAGCGTGTGGTCATTTTTTCTAAATTTCGTTAAGGCTAAATTTATCTGTTCGTCGAAGACGTGGATACGAACATTATTATTGATTAGCGTTACACAACACGTCGTTCTAAAGTATTTCAAGCGACCTGATTCCCTAAGAATACCAGGATGCAGACAAATGAATTGTAACTACCACACGCACATTATATTGTTTTTGATATTGACTGCGGAAAGGGAAATTACTTGAACAAAAATAACAAACTATTAACTTTGGACAGTTTATCCTCAACGTACTGAATACCTCATCCAAAAATTAGAAAATATAATAAAAAATATAATCGAGAGACTATATATATATATATATATATATATATATATATATATAGTTAAGTACCAAAGAAAATGAAAAATAGCATCAGAAACCAAGAAATGGGTAGTATACAGCCTTACCATTGAGCAAATCAAAGTAATATAGACTGGTTCGGAAACTCTCCTGATTTAAATCCAATCGGGAATCTCTGGTCAATCAGCAAGGAACGAATTCCTGGAATGGATATACGAAATACTAACTTATGTATTAGGTCATGTTTCATTGAAGAAATAAGAAAGAAATGTAAATAGTAAAGGACGTATTTGCTTTGTTTCAATCAATTTTCACTAGGGTTTAAGATGTTAAGTTTACTTCCACTGAAAATAAATCCTGATAGAGCATTTCATTTATCTAAAATTCGTAGAAGTTAATAAATCGTTTATGAATATCACATAGTGATCACTCTCCTGTTTTTAAATTAATTCTTTAATTTTATTTTTATTTTTTTTACATAGTCACTGTTTTACCCAAAATAGATTGCGAATTTTGTTTCCTATCATTTCTTTGTAGACAAACTTTTCTAACATTTCAAGAATTTCTTCGACATGCATTATACACATTTCTTTTTTACTTTGTGCAAAATAAATATGCCTATTGCATTAGTTACCTAAATATGTTGTAACTATCAACAGTATAACAACTTATATCTGAAGCTCCCTGCAACAAACTTCGCCAGTAATGTTTTGTGATCTTTTAAGGTAATTCTGACATAGTATCAATGCTGTTACTAAGTTATAATAACTTATTATCTATTAGATCGTCACGGCTCTAGGTAGAGTAACTACCATTTATATATTTACTTTGGGTAATCGTGATCAATTGGTGGTACTCATTTCCTTTCAAACAGCACACGCCATGTTTTTATGGATTATATGGTACCAAAAGTAAGGAAAAATACCTGGTCTCTTCTATTCATCGGAAAACGGTGGAGTAATTGCCGTTGAATCTCCAAGGATTCAGGGAAGCCGTTCTTTTTGATTGGCTGCCACGTAAGGAGAGAGATCGCTATCTACACTGCTATGTAACTCGTAGCTGGAGGAGAAGAGATGAAAATATTTATTTTCGAAGGTTATTCTTTCGAAAGCGAACGTAACAGATTTTGAACCCGGCTTTCTGATTCCACTTTCTGTGCTCAACAACCATTACACTAATAACGCATCGATAATACTTACAATCCATATTGGTATATAGTACAATAAAGAGCTTTCTGTAGCGTGTATCAATTCTCCTATTGCCGGTGTTGGACAAACTTACTTAAGGCTGAATTATTTTTATTAGTTTGGTTGTGTGCCTTAGTAAAATATTCTATCACATTATATCAAATCCCCAGTGATTGTTGTTAGCAAAGTCGATGTAACTATATGTAAGTGAAAGAGAGAAGGAGGACAAAGCAAATTGTAAATGCTTCCTTTACGGAGATAGATATGTTTAATTGATTGATTCATTATTTTTCTACGGCTTATCAACCTTCTGCAGATTATTTAAAGCCAGGATATATTTTAGATCGTAAGAATTTTTTTTAGATAATAATGATTTATTGATACTAATTAACCCATAGTTGTGGGGAAGAAGTGGATTCATACCTTTCTTAAACGAATTCGCGCATAAGGGGATATAAAAAAAAGTAACAGGAAATGAAACTCAGCTTTCTGATTAACAATTCTGAACCATTATCCATTACACCTCCTGCAAATCCAAACTGACAGAACCTGATATTCCCAAGCAGTCACCCATCTAGGTACTCGACGTTGCTTAACTTCGATGATCGTACGGGAACCGGTGTTTCAAGTAAGCCTAGGTAGATATAAGGCCGTCAAAATAATATAGGAATTAATAAAATTATCATAGAAAGAGTAAACCGTCCTGAGTATGACGATAAACTACATCCGCGTCCTGGGTATGACGGCAAACTACGTCCAACAGTAATACCTCTGATCAGGAGGTTTTGAGAAGCGTGGAACAATCTCTTAATTGCTGGTGTTCCCAGCCCCACCCTGACCCAGTGTGGTAGCACCTGTTAGGGTCCCAACTATGGGTAAAATAGTTAACCCCAAAAATTGGGGTCAAAGCACTATGGAAGAGTAAAAATAGGTCTTATTACCAAAAATACTTTGTAAAAGAAAGAAATTATTACCATCAATGCAACATCAGCAATACATTTTAGGCAAAAATTTTTACCAGCGATAATTTTTTGAAAAAAATATTATCAGAAATAGATTTTTTTGAAGGAAAAATATTTCTACCAATACATGTTTGAAAAAACAAATATTATCAGCAAAAAATTTTGACGGCATTAAATAACACATTGAGGTTGATAGACCGTAAAACAAACCAAACGAAACCATACGGAGAAAGAGTAAACATTAGACACGATTGTACAAGAAAACCTTTCAAACTAAATTTTATACACCAAAAACGAGAGGTTGTTATATGGTAAATACAAAACAAAGTCAGTTCAGGACGAAAGACTATTATTATAAACACAATGAGGAATACCTGCTTGGTCGAAAATATTTCTGTTCTGATAGAAATTAAATAAAATTAAAACACTGGAATAATATCCGAACACTACTAGCACACAGAAATTATAGTGTATGATGAATCAACAAAAGAATACTGAAGCTTAACCAGGGTGTGACAGTCCAAAGTATAGTTATTGGGCATTCTAAGCTTGGCTGTTTTCTATCAGGGTTAGGTGGTAATATATTCTCAGATTATAAAATTGGTTAGGATAGAATATAACCGAAACCAACCAGATTATTCCCACTCTTTTTCCACTTTTTTTTTTTAATTTGTGGCACCGTTCCTGATGAGAACATGAAAAGCGGGCAAGTATAATATCAAGAAATACAAACTTTTATTACGGACAAGATTTTATAATCGATGTAATGAATATGCATACACCTGTGTTCCCCCTCACAGTAATATGACTGGCTGGTGTCAGCCATAAATACAGACTGATGTGGAGGTACAGGGACTACGCCTATTGACTACGCCTATTGCCTATTGCCTACCACTATGACGAGGACCAGTCCATTACAGTTACCTGCTAGATTGTCCTAATCGGTTACAGTAGTCCAAAACCACTTTGCTACTTCGAACAAATATATCCCTTTCCGGGACATATCAATAATCTACAGCATTTTTCTAACAGATGTACTAATTGAAAAAGATAGTTTTTTGGGTTTTTTTTTTTTAGAAAATTGGATACCTGATAACTTTTCTTGAATTAGTAAATATCAACCTTTATTACCAACTAGATTGTAGGCTGGAATCATCACATGACATTCTTCATTAAAAAAAACGAACTTCTTGATACTAATTGTAAAAGTATACAAAATAGAAGAGCATCGTTTAGACTCGGTGTGGCCAAACTTGTTTAATGTTAGAGTCATATACGATAAAGTTGAGATGTTTGAGAATCGCAAGATATGAACAAAATGTACACTTACGTTTTTGTTACATATTCATTAACACTAAATCTACGATATAATCCAATAAGGTCTCAATTCGTGCTTAGTAATTATTAGTCTTGAAATTATTTTTATTTACCGTATTATATTAACTGTGATGAAAAAAAGAGCTCAGTCAACATATTTTCACGAGCCGCATATCAAAGGTCAAAGAGCCGCATATGGCTTACAAGCCGCGGTTTGACTATTCCTGGTTTAGACTAAGCTAATTTATACATCAACCTATGAAATAAACTTGCTCCAATTATACCCCGGTTATTATTCTGGTCGAAGTTTAACTCTATCCAGGTATATTTTGAGGGGAAGTTGAACTACAACACGGGGATGATTTGCGAAGATAAATCCGTGCGCCATTTAGTTTCTTGAATAAGATTCTTGATATTTAGAAAAATCAAAATTTTATGGAATTGTAAAATTCAAACTAAACCAAAACGAGGTAATTACATTAAATCATTGCAAACAAAGAAAAGAAAATCTAGGAGTTAGAGGGGAAAAATTGAGAGAAAGTAAATCCAGAGATAACTGTATGCCCCTATGGGTCCACCGCACTATGTATCAAAACATCTACGAAAAAGTTCAATAAATTTGAAAAAAATGATTTGTTTGAAGTGTCGTGTATGACCAACAGTAGAGTTTACAAATTAAGATTTTCAAAACTGCGGCTCACTTACTAAAAAGAAATAAAATATATAGATGAATAGATTAAATTAATTTAAAATTGAATTAAATTTAAATTAAAACATTTAAACTAAAGAATCAGAAATAGAATTCATTATAATTCCGATTCTGCTTGTTGATAGTGTAGATGTTGAGTGACTTCCAAATCACCCGATAAGGATCTACGACACGCGCGTTATGATGTGCAGATGGAATGTTTGGCGCTAAGAGATAGTGCTCACTGACCGACGGGAAGAGCTTATCCGTTAGCATAATAGCATAAATTGTTTCAATTTGCATCTACCTACCATCCAGATCGTGCAAGTGAATCCTTTAATTAATATGCAAATACAGGTGGCGATGGGTAAATTGTCGCCATTTTATATTTTTAATTTCGCGCATGCGCGTTGTTTGTTTTTGTATTATCGACTACAGAGTATTGTAGGTTTTGTTGGGCACCGTCTGTTAGACAAAGAGCAACATGATGCAATTCACTCCGCTCGAAGTTTGTAAACGGCATGCTGCACTGATTTACATTCGCGCCCGAAGCTTCAATACGAACATTTCAGAGCGTTGAGTGTCAGAGGACATTGCAGATGATTCGGAAAAAGTTGGATGGATCTCAGGGTGATTACGAAGGTGTTTGATGTGATTACTAGTGATGGCGACGTTATTCCTTCATTCGTCTTCCCACGGGGCTTTAGACTCAATACAGAGACGTACATCAAGATCCTCGAAGACACAGTGCTCCCCCGGGACAATAGAGTGCTTCCTAGATGACCTATATCTGGCAATAGTAATCTGCACCACGCAACACATGTAGGAGAACACATTCATTGCTGTCGGACAATTTCTGTGACCACATCACCCCTTACATCTGGCCATCTAACTCCCCAGACTGCAATAACCTTGATTATGTGTTGCAGTTGAACTTGAAACCAACAAAACTTCTTTAAACACCAAAGATGATCTGAAGATAATGATTATGGAACATTTACAACCTTAAACAAGGAGATCGTCCAGAAGTGTTGCAGGAGATTACGAACTCATTTCGAGGCCGTGTATGAAGCCAATGGCGATTTTATTGAATACATTTATCATTTCCTATTTCAGAATATTTTCGTGTAATAATTTTCGCTAAGCATATATGTTAAAATGAGATGTCTGTGCTATTTTATTTTTGTGTCAATTAGACAACAATTTATCTATTTCGCCTTCTGTGTGTGTTTGTGTGCATATATATATATATATATATATATATATATATATATATATATATATATATATATATATTCTATACCTGAAGATGTCTGTAGGAACAGACGAAAGCTTGTAGTAAAAATAAGAACTAATACGGCAGAAATTTATAGAAACAGGGATCATTTCATTCATAACGGATTCGGAGGTTTTGTATATTATTTGAATTGTTTGCGACGATGGATTTCTCGCCAATTAAATCATTAACCTTTGCATTTGTTTTTGTGTGAATAATTCATGAATTTGTAAATCTCTCTCTCTCTCTCTCTCTCTATATATATATATATATATATATATATATATATATGCACATATATGTACAGGTAGAAACAGTATTAACAGTATTAACCTTTAAATTTATGTCCGTGTCGTTTTTTTTTTCACCTTTTGATTCCTTGTAGAGCTACAACGGACATTTCCGCTAATTCCGTCCGTTCGCTTAAAGATTGAAAGAATGGGTAAAAAGGCATATTTACAACTTCCAGGAACAAATCCGAAAAGGTTGTAAAATATGAATGGCTAATAATATTAAAAAATAGGATATTTATAATATTTTCAATAAGGTAATAAAGCCACTAAAGGGGCATGTGTTTACTTAGAAAGAAATTGAAAATAAATCTTTTTCTGAAAAAAGACAATGAGAAGAAAAAGATCCAGAAAGACAGAAGATGATGATTAGCGTTGCATTGAAATTTTTTAAGATCATTGTTGACATGAAAGAAGTCGTAATAGAAATGCGATTAAAGAAATTATTAAAAGAGAACGTACATTACAATTAGTAATTTTAACAGGAAAATGGTAAGATGCCACGTTAAAACAGATAACAATACAGATATTTCTTGTCAAAAATCTCTAGACACATATTAGAAGCATCAGACAATGTACAAGCGAATGTTGAACTTTTGTGTATCAATTATTTATTAAATATATTTGCTACGCTATATCATTTTTATAATCCAAGTCTCTGGTATTTAGAATGCGTCCCATCATTCTAGGACACCTGTATAAAAATATTATATATATATATATATATATATATATATATATATATATATATATATATATATATATATATATATATATATATGCGTCTGACGATTGCGTCTAGAATGAAACAGACTGACGCCTCTAAGTGTTGACTTCTATGTTCACTTTCATATTTACACACGCTCTATCACTGATATTGAGCACTTTATCCCATAAATATACACATCTTAGATTATATATATATATATATATATATATATATATATATATATATATATATATATATATATATATATATATATATATATATATATATGTGTGTGCGGGTTGTTTGTGCGTGTGTGTGTTTGTATGTGTGTGTTTTATCCTCATTTTCTCTAGTAGAATACCATAAATATGACGAAATTCCTGATGATCAAACGTATTACGAAATTCATATTTCATATTACCATGACAAATATTACTAAACAGCGACCTGAAATATTGGTTATATGCTTAATAATAATAATAATAATAATAATACAGTTTACATCGAGTTTTATGAATACAGCTTTGACAAATATATGTGTGTGTGTGTGCAAATGTATCTGTGTATGTTTGTGTGTGAGTGCGTATAAATTAACTTATTTTACATATCTATTGACTGAAAAAGTAGATGATATCGAATTGGTAAAGTTGCCAATATCGATCTTGAACTACTACAATATCCCGGAGGATTCCCTCTTTATTGTTTTCTATATCTATGAATGGATTATATTACAAATGCACTTTTATTGTTGATATGAAGTTTTGCTTAGTTTCAGGCATATGCACTTTAGTGCATGAGTGTATCGATTGAAGTGCGTTTTTTTTGGCTAGATTTGTGCAGACACGCGCTTTCTTGGAACTGCATATGCACAAATGACATCATACGTGATGTGATATGAACATATTAAGTATAAGCTACATGCATATCTATGTGTACTTATATAGTGAGTGATCATGTTCTGATTAACTCTTGCTTCCTAGACATTTATCTATCAAATATTCGATGTTTTGTACCCATTCTGCTTTTGCATATATTTATTGATTAAATTAGTTGAAATGTAAAATGTTAGAGAAATCTTTGTAGTGTCTTTGAGATGCAGCCAACTTTTTTATATCTTCTGCAATCGGATGAAATTTTATCAAAAATTAGAAGATGGGGAAATTGGTTCAGCATGAATTTATGGAATGCAATCACCACCAGACATTAAAAAAAACAACTTGCCTTTATCAATTTATAAATTTTATTTCTAGAAATGTTAATCATTGTTCACCTGATGTATTTAGTTTATTGGTAATATCTAAAGTTTATATATTATATATATATATATATATATATATATATATATATATATATATATATATATATATATATATATTATGACGTATATGGTAAAATTCCGTTCCTGGATACTGTCGATAAATCCATTTATATTTTGTTCCGGCACGTATGAACACATCTCTTGTGACGAATCTAAAAATTCCCGTCCTGGGTATGACGATAAACTACATCCGGCAGAAGGCCTTTGATCAGAATGTTTTGAGGAGCGTGGAAAGAGCTCTTAATTGCTGGTGTACCCAAATCCACCCTGACCAGAGTGGTGGCACCTGCCAGGGTTTCAGCTATAAGAAATAGTTAACCCCCCCAAAGGCGTCAAAACACTAGAAAAGTATAAAAATAGGTTTGATAGCAGCAATGAAAATCTAACAGTCATTAAATAATCCATTGAGGTTGATATGCCGTAAAAAAACCATGAAGAGAGGGAAATTTTTTCAACATGAATTTACAGAATGCAATCACAGCCAGTCATTAAAAACTTACCTTTATCAACTTATAAATTTTATTTCTAGAAATGTTAACCATTGGTTGCGAAAAATGAGTTTAGTAAGAGAATACAAATTGAAATAAGTTAGGGCAGTTGAGGATCAATGATTAAAACTTATAAGTGTTTAGTGGCATGAAAAGAATAACTTTGCAGATGAAACCGATACGATTTAGGCTACACAACTACAGAGATCATCACAGCCCAGAAATTTTCTATTGACGCTTTTTAAGGAATGCTATTGTGGAGATCTCTTGCATCTAAATCTGCCCAATGCAAATTACTGCATACGAATGTGTCTAATGCAAATTGCATGCATGCGAATCTCACCAATAGAATGGAAAATTGTAGAACTCTCTAGAAAGTTCTAATCACACTGCTATGTAAGTAATGCAGGTGAGGCAGTTGGGTTGTGTTGGGGCGCACCCACCTTCTAACTAGTAATGGACTGGTCCCTCTTATATAAGTCAGCTCTGGAGAGAGAGTGACAGAGCGTCAGAGAGAACGTCAGTGTTAGCAGTCCAGATAAGATTACCCGGTACATACCGTTGGACTATAGACTTTGGATATTGTTTCGTACTAACCAACCTTCGTTCTACTAATCACTCTATTGTTAATTGCTTTTATGAATATACCAGTATTTTCCTCTACAACTGTGTTTGTCTTGATTCATACACCGACACGCGGGAAACTCACAACATCTTAGGTTGTCTATTTGGCTTTGACCTTGCCTGTCCTACATTGTTGGAGAGACAGTTAATTAACCTATTTGGATTATCGATGTGATTTCTCTGTGAGTGAATGTGAGACTATCTGATATGTCCCGGAAAGTGATATATTTGAACGAAGTAGCTAAGTGACTTTGGCTACTATAACCAAGTAGAATACGGTAGCAGTAATCAGCTGGTATGCGTCGTTGTCACAGGGAAGAAGTGTAGATCAATGGCGTAGTCCAATGGGCGTCGTTATAGACTTAGCTCTCAGACAAAGGCTCTTGACTCCCCTACACGTCTGTCGGTATTTATGACGGATACCAGCCAATCATATTCCATTGAGGTGTAACACAGGTATACGCATATTCCATTATCTCACTATCCTTGCCGAATGGACTGTTTACTTCGACAACAAAGTGGCAAGCTGATTAAGTTCGCATAACAATTTCAATTCCAGAGGGAACAAATGGAGGTGAACGCGCAGCAGTACAGAGAAGAAATGGAAGCTTTGAGATGGCTGATTCTATTTCAAACTTCTGAAAGGATTCCAGTTCAAATTTCCGTCTTCCAAATTCTCCAGCTGCTATCACACTATCGAAATCGTCAACTTTATGAAAGAACAATTTGAACCGAAACATTTCTTTGTACGAGAAAGTTTCAGGTTCTGGAGTGACATGCAACGGAAAATCTCCAGTTGCTGGAAGCGCGTATCCGTCAAGACGATGCTACTTGTGACTTTTCTTCGACCACCAAACCACAAGATGAAGCTCTTAGACAGAGATTCATATGTTCTGTCAACAATGAAGCTGTTTTGAAGGCTCTTTTCAAGATCAAGGACAGAGAGCCGGACTCTGCCCGTGCGGTCCAGCTCGCTACTGAGATCGAAGATGCGTGATAGTTGACAAGAAATCTGTTTACAGATCCAAGACCAGGCCTGTCAACAAGGTTAACCAGAGACAGAAGAATGGACAACGAAAAAACTACCAGCAGCCTAATTTCACAGACGCTGATTATAAGTGTTACCGGTGTGAAAAGGCTCAAAATTTGACAGACTGTCCCTACAAAGAAGTCAAATGCTACTTTTGTAAGATGAAGGGACATTTGGAAGCTGTATGTAGGAAGAATTAACGGCAGCAATGGGAAAATCGTTCCCAAGTTTCTGTGAAGAGAATCACGAAAGCAGAGCTCGTCAAAACGATTCTTAATGATGATACTTCTAGATTTATTGCGCCAATCACAATCCAGGACCGACAGTTCACGACTGAACTGGACACTGAAACAACGGGAAATTTAATTTATTTCTGGTTAGGAAACAACTAGGAAGACCGGAACTGGATAAGGTCAGACATCTGTATGAGTCTATCAGCAAGCGCGACCTGCCTCTGCTGGGAAATTTATGAGCCAAATCAAAAATTCAAAGACTGGTATACAACACTCAATTCCCTACAACGTCACCAAGATCCCTGACCCTGAACTTTCTGGGACGAAACACTCTCTAAACACTGGGAATCACTGTGGACAATGCTCTTAAACTAAGATGCATAGAGTGTCAGAACACGAGTGAGGGTGCAAAGTCATCGCATCCTAAGACCTCTAACGAGCCTTACGTTTCCCTGCAATGACATTGCCACAGTATCTGTGACAAGTTCTCAGATCTTTTCAAAGAAGAATTAGGATATCTTCAGGATTTCGAACTATAAGTGAAGTCTGATGCGAGGCCGGTTTTTCACAAGGCACGACCAGGTCAAAGGTTACGAAGAAGGCATCTCCAAAAGAAGCCTGGAAGCAAGTCCAATTCATCGAGTACGAATCACCTGTGGCACCGATTCGTAAATGCCCGTTGTCCCTGAAGCCAAAATTTCAGATCTGTGGTTACTGGTCAGTAGGCATCAACAATCATCTAGAGGAACACCTTCATCCGATGATACTCACAGAAAAACTAATGCAGAAGCTAGAAGGGGGATACGGTTATACGAAGATTGACCCTTCTGAAGCCTACCAACCGATCAAGCTGGCACTAGTGAGTCAATAGAGGCTAGCCCTCAGCACTCTCCTTAGAGTACTCCTGCACCAACGACTAGCATTTGGAATCAAGTCAACGCCTGTTTACTTCCAGGAGACAATGGAGAACATAAGTGGTGAACTTCCTGGAGTTACTGTCTTCCAAGACAATATGCTTGTTAGTGGGCATAACGCCAATGAACACGTCAGCAAACTGATGCATTTATTTTCTCGTTTGAACCATAAAGGACTCATATGTCGCTGTGATAATTACCTGTACGGTCTGCCCAGTAGGCAATATTTTGGCTACACCTTGTCAGCAGAAGGAATCGTGCGGGGATCCAAAGTCAGGGCAGTCTTAAAGATGCCAATTCCTACGAACGTCTCAAGCTTAAAGTTTTTCTTGGGCCCTGTTCAATTCTACGAGAAGTTCATTCCAGACCTGGACATTATGGAAGAGCAAAATTATCGTTTAACCAAAAAATCAAATACCTGGAAATAGGGAAGTTGTACAGTTGTAAAACGTAATATCCTCAGATCAAGCCGTTGTACATTTTAACCCAAATAAGCCTTTTGAACTGAATTATGACGCGTCCAATGTTGGAAATGAAGCAGTCTCATCGCTATCCGGATATCCAAATTGCAAACGTGTCCAACGCTTTCACATCTGCAGAAAGAAACCACAACCAAATCCACAAAGAAGACCTAGCCATTATATTTGGCTTGCGGAAATTCCACCAGTATCTGTACGGACATTTTTTCATGTTCATTATTGATCATAAACCACTGACGACACTGTTCGGCCCTAAAAGAGGGACACCACTTCTCGCAGCCAACCGACTAGCTCGATGAGCTATGTGACTACACAATCGAGTAGCGGAAAATAGTGTGTCATGGCAATGCAGATGCCCTTAGTACGTTTGCTATCCGGAGACGAAAACGACTTCGACAGGGAGAAAATTAGAGAAGACATGGATAAGGTGTGCTCCATCAGTATTCAAGTCAAATATGTAGATGCAAACATCCTCTGCCAAGAGTCTGGGAAAGATCCAGTGATAAGTGCAGTGAAACGCTGTGTGCGCGAAAGATGGACAACGAAGGAGATTGAGAGCAATGATGATGTTGAAAAATTCCGGAAATTTTCGGATTCACACAGTATCAACCATAGATGCCTCACCCATGGATCAAGAGTTGTGATTCCACGCAGCCTACAGTCCAATATCATAGATTTACTGCAAATCGGAAATTTTGGCATAGAATGTATGAAGCAATTGGCAAAAACAGCTATCTACTGGTCAGGTATTGATACAACTATTGAGATTGGCTAATCGACGATAGCACAAGTGTGGCAATCATCACAATAAGCTAACCTCAACAGAATGCAAAAAGTACTGGACGGCCGTTTGGTCCTATTTCGAGAATCGATCCCGGACCGTTACGACATGCCGCAAGCGTCATAGGCAATAGACCAACAGTTCTCGGTGACGAAGAGATAAAATACAAGACTCGATATAGCGCCAGCTCTTCAGAAATTCCGTCGTGCGACTGTATAGTCACGTCATCTATCTCCAAGCTGCTTCATGCAGAGCGTTAGAAGCCGGTTCAAGCGCACTGCTGATGAGTCTCAATAAATAGGACGAAAGGGCTGTCTAGTGCTTTCTGCATTCTGTTGAGGATTCTTCTAGACTCGATGAATTAATTATGATTATTCAAATCCCACTTAATTTTATATATATATATATATATATATATATATATATATATATACCGTGCGTCTCGAAAAAGGACCTCAATCGATTGTGAACTGGGGCATGAATTGGCTGGTCAACTTCAACGCTTCGAAGACAAAACTGCTCTCTATTAATCACCACAGAGAGCCTTCCCTTCCCTCCATAAGAATGTCTGATGCTCAACTTCTCGAGAGCAACACTCTGCGGCTTCTCGGTCTCACGTTGACTGCTGACCTGAGATGGAATAAATACATCGAGTCAATTACCTCGTCCAATGCGAGGAACGTTGGCTCCCTGAGACGCGCTAGGAAGTTTTCTCCCCTGAGTCGATCCTCCAGATATACAAATCCACAATTCGCTCTTGCATGGAGTATTGCTGCCATATATGGTCTGGCGCCCCTTCTGTTTGCCTCGGGGTTCTTGATAGACTCCAGAGGCGGATATGCAATATGGTTGGCCCTGCCCTGGCGTCTCGTCTACAGTCACTTTCTCACAGATGCGCTGTCGCCTCCCTCTGTCTGTTCTACAAATACTTTCATGGAAACTGCTCCGAGGATCTGCATTCGCTGGTTCCCAGACGTCATGAGTTCCAGCGACTTACGAGGCTGGCATCCCGCTCTCACCCCTTCACTGTCGAAACTCCTAAATGTAGCCCCTCTTCTCTCTAATAGCTCCATGTCTCGCACCTCTCGCTTGTGGAACTCACTTCCCTTCTCCTGTGTCCCTGTGAGCTATAATCTCCAGCTATTCAAGTGTAATGTCAATCGACATCTCCAGTTGCCTTAATCTATCCACTACTCTCATCCTTTCTTCTATCACTCCTATCTGATCTTGCTATTTTCTGTAACCCCTTGCGTCCTAGTGGCTTCTCGCCTTGCTTGGGGTGAAACGCTTAAAATATATATATATATATATATATATATATATATATATATAAAAGAAGTATTGTTGAATAATTAAAACACATTTTCACCGGATATTTTCAATAGGATCCGTTCCTTCGTCGCTGTCGGCTTTATGTCGTATTCAGGAATTTAATTTCTTCTTTGCTACTCGCTTCATTTCTGATGATGGTTTTGAGGATTAAGTAGACCAATTCTTGCATGGAGGAGCCGATGGCATTGACAGCAGACTAATATTGGTGCAGAACGAGGTCGATCTTATCGAGTCTTTCTCTCTTGTCGGTTGACTTCTTCCTATTCTCTTCTGATGGCTTTGGATTTTTTGGTTCCGATAGTGATGGAACATCGCCGGTTGGTACGGTCTTGGGCTTGTGTTTCAGATGCTTTAGGCTCTATTCCAGTAGCTTTCAGTGTTGTTTTAAGATGATCCTTCGTGGACTTTTCCCTGAACTGAGCACTCGGAATAAGACCATATATTCCTTAGTATGACTATATATCATTAAGAAACTCTTCAGCAAAATATGTCAGCGTATTTAACATTCCTTTTGTATTGATCACGTGTTCTTTCATTCACGTATCTTTTTTTCGTTTTTACCAAATATTTTAAAATATTATTTTTGTCATTTCTCTTTTTTCTTTCTATATTTCTTTCTTTCTTTTCCTCTTTTTCTATGTCTTACATTCTCTTTTATTCTTTCTTTCTACCTTAGTATATTTATTTTAATCTCTTTTAATATACTTATCTGTTTATTTTTTGTTTTGTAATATTTATTTTTTCAAACTCTCTCTAGTCCATTTAGTTACTCTCTTTACATTTCCTTTCTTTCTTTCTTTCTTTCTTTCTTTCTTTCTTTCTTTCATCTTTTGGGTCGTTTTTCGCCACTTGTTTCTGTAGACATTTTAAGCTTCCTCTCAAGAATTATGTCTGTTCATCCTGACCGTTCTTTCCTTCTCCTCATAAGCTCTTCTTTTCTCTCACGTTTTTTTCTTTCTATTTTTAATTCATTTTCTTTTTCTTGCTTCTTGTCAACAAAACCTTTGACAAGACGCAAGAGATCTCATCAGCTAATGCAATTGTTTCTATAGATAAGACCCCCGATCCAAGTGGTTTTGTCAAGTGCTCTTGACTCTTTCCGAGGATTTTCCCGCCAAATACTTCTTGGCCAACCGATAGCACATTATTCCCCTATCCGACACCCATTCATGCAAACAGTATTTCAGATTGTGTAACGTGACGCACGGAGACAATGACAATAAAACCGCTTTCAATGTCCTACCATTATACACATTTGACAGAGGAGTGGCCTTCGCTATCTTTCAAATCGTGCGTTCATTTCTGTTCGAGTAGCATAAAAAGGTCAAAGTTTCATAAGTTGGCTTAATGGTTAGAAATGTGGGCTATCAGCCGAGATTCCAGAAGTTCAATTTCCATTATTTTTAATTATTTTTAATTATTTCACACTAAGCAAGGAAACAAAGCCACTAATACAGAGGGGTTTGAGTTTGAGAGAATGTGAGAAAAAGAAAACATTATTAAGGAAAAGAGAATGAGTGAGATTGAATTTAAATTTTTGAAAATCAAATCTGATTGGATATCAAGAAGCCGAGAGAGAGAGATCCATAAGAAGAAAATGTTAGAATAGAACTTGCGGTTGTATCTATTCATTTCATTTGTAAAATGATGAAACCTTACCGTAAATCTAGCATTACGCTTAAGTTTATAAAGTATAAATACCAAAGAGGAAAGCTGATGAAAATATTTGCAATGGAAATATTTATATTAAAAAAGGCACAAGGAATATTCCTTACGGTGGTGGAAAAGTGACTTAAAGCGAGATTCCAGGTCAGGATGAATAACATTGCAGATTCTTCTTTGTATTTTATGAAGAATACCTAACTGCATAGGAAAAGCACGAGACCAGATGAGGCAGCAATATTCAACACACGCACACAGACACATATATATATATATATATATATATATATATATATATATATATATATATATATATATATATAAGTTTCATTAAATTCATTTAATTTTTCTTAAGTTCGTACGTCTTCTTTTTGGGACATAAACTTTGTAGATAAAGAAAAATTCCGCTCAGAATTGTATTTCTATGGCCAAAACATGAGTACTGGATGCTGGAATATAAAAGAAAAAGCTAACAGTCAAGAACATCATCTGTGAACACGGTCAGAACGTGCTGACCGTGTTTAGAAAAATAAAAAAAAAACTCCCAAAGATCTAGAAACATATATAAAAATCTACACATTCAGTTAAAAATAAAAGTTAAAAAATTCTTGATAATGAGTAAATAAATAGCCATGAGCGCTCGGATGTCCAGAACATTCGGACAACTTTTACACGCTTTATATCCTGAAAAGAAAACAAAAACTTATACGAACACAAGAAATACTAAATAGAATATTTAACCGCAATAACTTGCATGAAAGAGAGATATTAGCTTTTAGTTTTGTTTTTGTTTTTTTTTTTCGCCTGTGCTGTAAGCGTCGTGGGGAGACAGTCGTCTATCAACGGCAAGGCGAGTAGCCTGGAGGAGAGATATCTCGGGGGCTCTGAGAGTGTTTGTCACTGAGTCACTCCAAGCATATGAGTGAGGTGTCCGAACCACTTGATCCTCTGTCGTTCGATATGTTGTATGATTGGTATTGCTGCTACGAAATCTCTTATTGCCTCCTTCCTGATCTTGTTTCGCCTGGTGTTCTTCACTGCTTTCCGCAGGCATTTCATCTCAAAAGTGATCAGTTTCCTCTCAAGGGTTTTTGTTAGGGGCCATGTCTGGCACTGGTATGTCAGTGTTGATAGAAAATGGCGTTAATAAGATTTCCCATGGTGCTCATGGGAATGCTAGAATGTTTTTAAAAAGGAGCAAGTTGGTAAATGACTGAAAGAGGATTGGTGCCCAAATATCCTTCGCCATATATATATATATATATATATATATATATATATATATATATATATATATATATCCATCCACTTCACATGTGTGCACATTTTTAATCAGAATCAGTTTAGGCTCCCGCTTGGCAAGAAAAATCGTCGTTAGATCTTATCTGCTTTTAAACCGTCTCAATTACGGTCGGCCTCGACGATCAAGTAAAATTAAATCACTATTTACATTATTCGGACTATTGTCCTCATCTTTATCGCCATTTTTATTACAACGTTTCGGCCGTTGTACGCTCCACCCTTCTTCAGGTGGTTGGAATGTCGAACTGTACCCTTTATTTCGCTCACTGGGGTAGACTGTTCTAGTTCTGTTCGACATTCCAACCACCTGAAGAAGGCCGGAGCGTACAACGGCCGAAAAGTTGTAATAAATATGACAATAGTCCGAATAATGTAAATAGTGTACATAATAATTCATCTCAGAAATATAGACAGATACTGAAATTATATCGTGTCGTATAAATGCAAATCTTTCCAAATTTCTCGAAACGTTCACATCTTCCCATTTTCATATCCTAACGTAAACAGAGCAATTTCTAAAGAAGTGAGAGTTTTTTTATTTATTAACCCAACAGGTTTTATTACTTAATCTGGAATAGTGACAAGGGTGGGGTCTTCTAGTTTTTGGAATAAGCGAAGTGGTTCAAATAAGCCAGGACTCTTTATGTTAGCCTAATAGACATGGTGCCTCGAAGAAAAATATTTCGTAAAAATAATAAGCATTGCGTACCAAATATGTACTATGCGGTATTTGAAAAAAATAATTTGATAATGTAGGTATGTTCGACACACAAGTGTAAGCTGGAAATGTCAATGTCTGAGAAATGGCTGTTCGCCAATATATTTCATATTGATGTCGTCTGTTGAAGTCTTATTGCCAAATCAACTTCGGCTTAAATAATTAAAATAGGATTGTCGCAAAAAAAAGATACAATGAATTATACTGAAAGGTTCGAAGACGAGCAAAAATAGCATTTACATGACACTAGCATTGGCGTGACTAATGATATCGTAAGGTATATTTGTAGTCTCTTCGCTTGATACTAATGATGATATGACACCAGCTGTTTAAATGATGAAAGATTTGTTGTTGGTGACAATTCTTGCTGTTTTCGCTGTATTGTGTTCAAGTATGAAATAGACTGTCGCCGATTTGTGTTGCCATCAGTGACTACTTTTATATTTACTCTCAACGATTCTGAGAACTTCTACTCATAAATATATCATAGTGTAAAAATATATTTGTATCATATATATATATATATATATATATATATATATATATATATATATATATATATATATATATAACGATAAACTATATCCGCGTCCTGGGTAAGATGATAAACTACGTCCAGCAGCAAGGCCTCTGATCAGGTTTTGAGGAGCGTGGACCACCTCTTAGTTGCTGGTATTCTCAGGGTGGTAGAACCTGTTAGGGGCCCAACTATGGGCAAATAGTTAACCCCGAAACTGGGGTCAAAAGACCATGAAAGTGTAAAAATAGGTTTTAATACATGAAATGCTTCAAAACATTATTACTAGCAGTACTGTTTTGAAAAAATATTACCAACAATGTTTTTTTTTTAAAATAAATATTTCTAGCAATACATTTTTTTAAAAATATTACCAGCAATACATTTTTGAAGGAAAAATATTACCAGAAATAGATTTTAGACAAAACATAATATTACCAGCAATAAAAATTTCGTCAGCAATAAATAACCCATTGAGGTTGATATGCCGTAAAATAAACCAAACCAAACATTTGTGTGTGTATGTGTGTATTTTGGCGGCTTGTTTTTATTAAGACATACATATTTCGTTGAAGAATTTAGACGTGTTCTGTCTACTTATTTTCAGTTATGTCCTTTCATATTCACGCATAAGCTTTTTTTTCTTCACAAACATATTTAGTTACCTCCCCTTAAACGGCGTCAGTGATCACACACATTGATTCAACTTTCTTCACTCTACAAGTAAACAATGCCCTGGTGATATAATTGTGCTATGTCGAAAGTACTCGGAATACAAGAAATATGTATCAGAAGACGATTTTCTCTCGTCCTTCAATAAGAACATCAAAATGTTTATCCTAAATATGAAAAGATCCAATTGAAAATGAGTATTCAGAACATGTCTAAATTATTCATCGAAATATATTTCAATATATATATATATATATATATATATATATAATAATAATAATAGAAATAGTTTTACTCGTTTGGAGTATAACTATGTTATTATTATTATTATTTTAGCTCTAGGTTACTCTATTGAGCACTTTACAAAATTAATCGTTATGGAACGAGGAGACGTGGGATACTCATTTAAAAATATACCATTAACTGACCGACACTCATACGAATTAGTTTTATTGAAGAAAATAGAATCCTTCATAATGAACATGAGATGAAAAGCGGATTTCTTCATTAATAATAACCAACAGGCCAGTTGACCATAACGATCCGTATAGGTGAAACCTAAGTAGGTTTACCTGGCTCTTTAGGTTCATATATATATATATATATATATATATATATATATATATATATATATATATATATATATATATATATACACGCGCATACAATCGAATGTCTTTAATCCGAGATCCCGTCCTCCGGAAAATTTCATGCTCCGGTACATTTTTTTTAATCAGACGTTCCCATTAATTAGTTGAATAGCTTCGAAGGCAGTGCCACTCGTTTTTTACAACTTTCAGTAGCAGTCGACAACATCAGATAGTTTAGGTGATACGCTTTTGTTGATTTCTTATATATAACTGCATACAGTACAGTAAGTTTACATTATCTATTTGATTTTAGGCTTTAATTAAGATTTTTATTACATGAAAAAATAAAGAATTCATTTTTACTTTATTGTCTGTTTTAATCTTTGTTTCACGTTTGATAACACTGCAACATATGAGCTGGCAAGTCTATGTTTTCCATATATCTTTTTACGGGTAATTTCTGTCATTTGATATTTTTATAAATATATATATATATATATATATATATATATATATATATATATATATGAAGAAATATAATTTCAAGGCGTGCTATTTTTATAGGATTAAGTGCTCAATATCTGAGATAAA